ATACTTTTTTAAACACAAAAGGATTGGTATTGAAGGGGTTAAAGGAGCAGTTAGGGTTCAGACTGACTCGTTATTACATAATGATCATATTTATTAAGACAAAAGGCCCATTTATCTTTTATTTTTCTAAATATCTTGTTGGCTTTTATTCAAATTAGCAGCTAAGCTACTGCTAGTCTTGTGCATTCCATCATCATTTGGAATCACCTGTTTCTAATTCATTAAAATGGCTTAACTATTCTACTCTGTTGGCATAGGTCATGTTACACCTTTGTGTATTTAAATGTTTCTATCATAGAAACATAGAATGTGACGGCAGATAAGAACCATTCGGCCCATCTAGTCTGCTCAATATTTCAAAATACTTTTGATTAGTCCCTTGCCTCATCTTATAGCTAGAATAGCCTTATGCCTATCCGACGCCTCTACCACTTCAGCTGGAAGGCTATTCCATGCATCCACTACCCTCTCAGTAAAGTAATACTTCCTGATATTATTTTTAAACCTTTGCCCCTCTAATTTAAGACTATGTCCTCTTGTGGTAGTCTTTCTTTTAAATATAGTTTCCTCCTTTACTGTGTTGATTCCCTTTATGTATTTAAATGTTTCTATCATATCCCCCCGTCTCTTTTGTATTTGGTTTGGGTGGGTTGCAATTGCAGCTGCTCTGACCATTTTAGACCATTAACCTGTGCATGGAGGAAAATATATATATATTTTACACACTTACTGGCAATTTCACCAAAATAGTGCACAAACTGAATTTATATCGCTCTACTATGAGTTGTGCTTCCTTTTAAATGTCTATTTATTACATATTTTAGTATTATATGACATATAGCAGTAGCTTAACACTTGTCCATTCTCAGAATCTGGAGCAAAACCAAAAGAAAAAAGAGGGTCAGTGGACTAAGGAGGTTGATATTCGTGAGGTTAACTGGTATCCTCTGCAGAAGATTAACTTTGCAAGACGAAAGCTGGCTGGTGCAAATCCAGCTACAATAACATGGTAAGTTTCTTCTCAGAGTATAATTGTGAAGACCCTTCCTATTCCCCATGTTGTCTAGTCATTTTATCAAAGTTTTGGCTTATTATTTTGACAATGCTATACATTTTCTTTTATTGACAAGTTTACCGTCCATTTTAGTTTTTATTATACATATATTTTATTCATTACAGCTAGTATTGCTGCTGGACCCATTCTAGATTGTAAGGGGGCAATCTGGTTTTGAGTGCAATAGTCAAGAAAAGAGATATGTTTTTAAGATGAATAGTAATGGGATGTGAGGCGATAAAGAAAGGTTAGGGTCAAAAATGATACCAGGTCAGCATGTGGAGTAGAGCTGATAGTGGTGCCATTAATATGAAGGAAGACAAATTTTGAGTGATGTAGTTTCAGAAAAAAAAGCAAGTGTGTTAGAAATGAAGGAAAGAGTGTAGATGATAAAACTAAGGGTGCTACCAGCAATATTATTGGCAAAGTTGGTTTACTGCACGAGATTAAAGAAAAATGTGACAGATAAGAATCTAGAGGCTGGTGGGATGGCTGGTTTGTTGGAGTCAACAAGAATGAGAGGAAGTAAAGGGATCCAGGTAGGGATGTTTTACAGGAAAGGTGCCCAAAAGGTAGACCAGACAATGTAGAACTACAACTCCGAAGTTGTAGTTTTAAAACATCTGGGGGATCTACCTTTTGGGCACCTCTGTTTTACAAGAAAAGGCTAGAATGTCAAAGTGGGCAGTAGATAAGAGTTCAATAGGCAGATGGTATAGGGCAAGAGACTGGGTGAGAGATACCATGCTATGGCAGTAAAATGATCCTCTTTATACAGCCAGGGAGTGTGTAAGGGCTGAAACCCACTCCAATTTAGTGAAACAGGGAGAAGCCATCTTTCTAGGATTGCAAGGAAAGGAAAAAGATAGAGTAGTTTATGTTGAGTCCGAATCAGTGTCTCTGGGATTGTAGGCATATGCTAGAAAGAAAGCAAACCTTAATGTGTATGTATCGGTGTTTCAGTGATGAACTGCGCCTTGGACATGAATCTTCTAAGTCCTTCAAGGGATTCATAGATGTTGCAAAAGGCTACAAAGAGCACAATATAAGAGCAACAAAGGATTCTGATGGACTTTCAGAGGAGGAGCAGGTTCAGTGCCTTATAGATCAAGCCACGGACCCCAACATTCTCGGCAGAGTGTGGAAAGGCTGGGAACCCTGGATCTAAAGAATCTAACCAAGTGGGCTTCAATCTGTAGAAAATATACAGTATATATTGCACTAATAATATTTTTAAGAACGAAAAGTAGCTTATTTGACAGTACTATTCACATAAGCAAATTTGATTTACAAACTGTTCATAGATGTGCACTTGGAATACACTAGGTGTATTAATAAAAAAAACCCGTTTAATATTGAACTTGCACTATGACACAAAGAAATAGTTCTAAATAATGTTATATTGTTTTTAATGTCTAATATTTGTGCTAGTGGTAATATGACAAGGTACCTGCTGTTATATAGACGCTGTACAATATAATCCTAGTATCTACATGCTGCTTTGTATTGTGAGTACACACAGATAAAAGTCTTTGGAATATTGAAGATTTATCCAATAACCGGTGAACTAAAAACCTAGCTGAGCAGGTAAAACTCAAATTCAGCAGGACTTTTCTAGCTTATAAATGTCACAATTTGGTTTTCAGTTCCCTGCAACTGGCTGTGCTTTGAATACATTCCTTGATATAATAGCACTAGCTAAAATCTTTGCATATAAACAACTTTGCTAGCTCTATCACGAAAAAAATAACATTTATTAATTTCCCCTTTTTGCATTAAATTATGCCTATCTGGCTTCTCTCATTCTTCTCATTTGTATGTCTTTTGCTTATAGTAAAATTATTGCATGCCATTTTATAGGATTGTTTCTAATAAATATTGATTCAGACTGATTTCTGGGTAAAATGCTTTTTAAGACCGATCTTCTCTAAGCAGACAGAATTATTTTCCATATTGTAGGTTTATAGTGTCTTTGTGACATCTAAAAAATAAAATTACGTATAGAAATTCACACAGGTGTATTGAGCTCTATCTTGGAAACGAGTGCATTCTTCGATCAGTTTTTTTTTGTTTTTGTTTTTTTTTACCTATTTCTGTCAAAAACAATAAAGATTAAGTATACAAATTGTCTGTTCTAAAAACCTGGAAAAGGACAGAATTACCACTGGTTTCTATCGTAAATTAATAAACACCTATATCCGTGGTTTTGAAAAGTTTTAGCATGCCAAGTAAATCACTATTTAGTAGTTCTTTACAAACCATACACACAATGGGAGTACTCTGGAGTCCCAGAGGGTTATTATTATTATTTATAGACCGCCAACAGGTTTGGTAACGTGGTACAATGGGTGGCCTAACAGAGACGTATTTGTAACCAGACAAGTTTGACACACAGGAACAGAGGGGTTAAGGGCCCTGCTCAATGAACTCACATGCTGGAGGGCATTGGGTATAGTGACACAAAATGTAAGGGTAGGTTGGCTAGGATACTATTCATTGAGGGTTTAGTGTTTTGTTTTTATGACAGTTTCAGGAGAGGAATCTGAGTGTGGGAAGGGAAAGCTGTTCAGTTTAATTGATATGCTTTCCTAAAGAAGTAGTTTTCAAAGATTTTTTGAAGGAGTGGAGATTGGGTGAGAGTCTAACAGAGATGGGAAGGGCCTTCCATAGGAACGGTCCATCCCTAGAGAAGTCTTTAAGGTGAGCATCAGAGGTAGGAGTACGAACAGAGATTAGATGTCTCCGGCAGAGTGTAGGGGCCTAGATGGGACATATTTGTGTATTACTGAGCATAAGTAGGTGGTAGCAGCATTGTGTAGAGATTTGTAAGCAACTGTCAGGATCTTAAATTGAGCCCTATACCTTATGGGAAGCCAATGGAGGGACTCACAAAGGGGGGAGGCGTGGGCGGACAGGAAGATGAGCCTCGCTGCTGCATTCCTTATAGACTGTAACAGGGCAAGTTGGGAACACGTAAGACCACTGAGAAGCGGATTACAGTAGTCAAGGCGAGAGAGGACAGCAGCATGGACAAGCAGCTTTGCTGTATCAGACGTTACATAGGGTTGGATGCGCACAATGTTTTTGAGATGGAAGCGGTAGGATTTGGTGATTGATTGGACATGAGGGGTGAAGGAGAGGTCGGAGTCAAAGAGAACACCTAGGCAGTGAGCCTTAGAGGTAGAGAGTATGGTAACGCAATTGACTTGGAGGGACAGAGACAAGGGAGTAGCAACACTTGAGGGAGGAAAGACCAGAACTTTTGTTTTAGACAGGTTCAGTTTAAGGAAATGAGCAGCCATCCAGTTTGAAATAGCAGAGAGGCAGTCAGAGACGAGTCAAGAGGGGTGGTGAGAAATCAGGGGAGGACAGATAAATTTGCATGTCATCCGCATAGAAATGATATTTGTAGCCAAAGGAGCTGATTAGTTTACCAAAGGATACCATGTAGATTGACAATAGAGTACCGAGGACAGACCCTTAGGAACACCAACAGGGAGGGATTGTGGAGAAGAGGCAGAGCCAGAGAAAGAAACACTGACTGAGCGCTGGGAGAGGTAGGAAAAACACCAGGAGAGCAGTATTTCGTAGACAGAGATTACGGAGGATGAGAAAAAACAGTGTCAAAAGCAGGAGAAAGGTCGAGGAGAATGAGGAAAGGAAAACACCTAAATCACACTTCTTTAGAGAGGTCCATTAGCTCTCCCCCTAGCTACTTACCTCCCATCTTTTGTGCTCCCTCCTCCAAACACATTCTCCCTCACTCACCCCTCAGATACATTCAGATCACCTAATTACATTTTTTTTTAAATTTCTCCTTCCTCTTTTTACATTGTAAGCTCATTTGGGTAAGGTCCTCATCGCCTACTTTTCCATGTTAATTAGGTTTTGTTAGAATTTAGTGTTTGTCTTGTTTACCTATTGTACAGTGTTGCAGAATATATTGGTTCTGTATAAATATTGGTATATCAATATCCTAATGCAGTGAGTATAAATCTGCACTGAGCACAACTATGCATGCCTCTAGTGGGCTAGGGCTTCATCTCATCAATGAGATGAAGTGATGATGGTGTCTAGTGTCCCTAAAATTTTGTTAAAAATCTATAATTTGCTAAATAGGTGGTTGGTACGTGTTATAGAAAGGTTTGGTTTGAGGTTACCTAATGTGGCAATGTTACCCTTTAGGAGTGTGCTTACATTAACAGTTATGGTGAATAAGTGTCTGCACCCAAAGCCCTCACCGACTCTTGCTGGAACAAAACTGAACAGTTGCGTGTTATCAATACAAACCCAACTTTGGATGGCACGGGGATCAAGTGTGCACTTAAAACTTTAAGGTTTTTTAATATCTTTACAACATGGTCTTCCAGACAGGTTTGTCCCACAGACATAGGACTCCATGATGGGATCAACATATTCATGATTTCTTCACGGAGGGGATAACGTAGGACGCTGAGTGGGCGGAGCGTCTAGATTGCGCACCAGTGAAGGCGAGTGCTCTCAGCCACACACCGATACCGCATCCAAAACTGAACAAATGCAATCGCTGATACCGGAGCTGTGTTAGACAGAACACAACCATCCAGCGGGCAAACTTACCGGATGAAACCTGTGGGAGTCATCTTATCACTGCACCCATTGGAAAGCACGCATCGTGGTCATTGTCAGAATTAATTTGAAGAACAGATAGGTTCACGTGGGGGATAGCAGGGAGTCTGTGAGGCATTTGGATAAAAACAAGGTTAATAAGGTTACATGCCGTCTATCTTCTGCTTTTAAAAACATGCTATTCTTTTTTTGCATGCTTAATGTCTGGAATTTATAGAAAATTTCCCGATTAAGGATTACTAATAGAGGGTTAAAATTGAACAAATAGTTGTTTTATTATGACAGAGAGACTAAGTATTTATTCTCTGTACAAACTTCTAGTATTTCTATTTTAAGCTGATTTGAACTTAAAGGGACACTCCAGGCACCCAGACCACTTCTGCCCATTGGAGTGGTCTGGGTGCCAACTCCCACTACTCTTAACCCTGCAAGTGTAATTATTGCAGTTTTTATAAACTGCAATAATTACCTTACAGGGTTAACTCCACCTCTAGTGGCTGTCTACTAGACAGCCACTAGAGGGCACTTCCTGCATCATAGCACAGAAAATCTGTGCTAGAGCGTCGCTGGACGTCCTCACGCTGTGTGAGGAACTCCAGCGTCGCTCATTTCCCCATAGGAAAGCTTGTAAAAGCATTTTCAATGCTCTCCTATGGGAAGCTCTAACGCGCATCATTAGGTCTCCCCGGCCGGTGGGCGGGATCAGTCTCGTCCACCGGCCGACGCAATCACAGGGAGGAGTGGCGGCGGAGGAAGAAGCAGCGACGTGGGACAAGACTCAGGTAAGTTACTGAAGGGGTTTTCACCCCTTCAGCAACCAGGGATTGGGGGTGGGAGGGAGAGGGGACCTGCACTGCCAGGAAAACAATCTGGAGTTTCCCTTTAATCACTAAGGGGTCAAAATTAACAAAGGAAAGCGAATGAACGGATCTGGAAAGATATTCAAAAATTCCAATGAATAACTAAGTGTATGGGAAACACTCCATTCTGGCAATAGGGAGATTTCCCTCTTGATATAAAAGGGACTTAAAAGAGATGGTGGGTCTGAAAAGAATGGAAAATGGTGAATAAAAAAAGCTACTGAGGTTAAACCTTCAAAAAAAAAAGAAGAAAATCCTCACAAAAATGAAAGACGACTTTCTACATTCTTTCCCTCGCCTAACCCATCAGACCTTAAACCTAGGTTATCACGGCTGAATATAATACCTCTAATACTACTGAGAATAATGATACTAATGAGAAGAACGAGAATAATGATACTAATGAATCTGTACTACATAGTTCAAAAACAACAAGCCTAAATGCAGCAGATCTACATCTTGCATCCCAAGAGTACATTATAAAATGCTTGGATACCCAATTAATCCAAATCACGGAAGAACTTAAAATTCACACGGGCGAGATAAAACAGGAAATGACAAAAATGCATGAAACAATTTACATACTATTCTCATAGACATCAATCCTTCTCCAGATTAGATATGATTTATGCATCTTATAAAAGATATAAGGATGCAAATAATGCGTGCAAAAAGGCAATTAGACTTGCTAAACTTCAAAATGAAATAATGATAGCTGAAGAGAGCAAAACCAACCCCAAAGCATTTTTTAAGTACATAAATTCTAAAAAAAAACAAAATGAAAGTGTAGGTACACTAAAAACTGAAACGGGGGTGTTAATTAATGAAGACCAGGAAAAGGCAGGAATTTTAAATAACTTTTTCTCCTCCGTATATATTAAGGAAGAACCCATGGCAATAGATGTGCAAATGATTGCTACTAAAAACTTGCAGAATAATTGTAATTGGTTAACTCAAGACAAGGTGCTGCAGCAACTAAAGAAAGTTAATATAAACAAAGCTCCAGGGCCTGACGGTATCCATCCACGTGTACTTAAGGAACTAAGTGCAGAAATAAGTGAACCTCTGTTTTTAATCTTTCAAGATTCTTTTCTTTCAGGAAGTGTTCCGGAGGATTGGAGGAAGGCAGATGTGGTTCCTATATTCAAAAAGGGTTCAAAATCCTTGCCTGGAAATTATAGACCTGTGAGCTTAACTTCTGTGGCTGGTAAAATATTTGAAAGTTTATTAAGGGATAATATTCAAGAATTCCTTGAGAAGAACATGGTTATCAGCAAAAATCAGCATGGTTTTATGAAGCACAGGTCATGTCAAACTAACTTGATTGCGTTCTACGAAGAAGTAAGTAGAAGTATAGATCAGGGTGTTGCCGTGGATGTGATCTATTTGGATTTTGCCAAGGCATTTGATACAGTTCCACACAATAGATTAGTGTTCAAACTCAAGGAAATCGGTCTAGATGAAAATGCTTGTTCTTGGGTAGAACATTGGCTTAAAAACAGAGTACAAAGAGTTGTCATTAATGGTAAATTTTCAAGCTGGACAGAGGTGGCAAGTGGTGTCCCTCAGGGGTCTGTTCTGGGACCCCTTCTATTTAACATGTTTATAAATGATCTTGAAGACCGCATTGAAAGTCATGTTTCAGTGTTTGCAGATGACACAAAACTTTGTAAAACAATACAATGTGAGCAAGATATTACTTTGCTGCAGAGGGACTTAGATAGACTGGGGGACTGGGCACTCAAATGGCAGATGAAATTTAATGTTGAAAAATGCAAAGTTATGCACTTCGGCGTAAAGAATACACAAGCAACGTATACCCTTAATGGAAGCGAATTAGGGATAACAACACATGAAAAGGACTTGGGAATTGTTATAGACAACAAACTATGCAACAATGTGCAATGTCAATCAGCAGTGGCCAAGGCCAGTAAGGTATTGTCATGCATGAAAAAGGGCATTCATTCTCGGGACAAGAATATAATTTTGCCTCTTTATAAATCACTGGTAAGACCCCATATTGAATATGCTGTGCAATTTTGGGCACCTGTTCTAAAGAAGGATATTATGGCACTAGAAAAAGTGCAGAGGCGGGCTACAAAATTAATAAAAGGAATGGAACATATCGGCTATGAAGAAAGGTTAACAAATTTAAACCTATTTAGTTTAGAAAAACGTCGCCTGAGAGGGATATGATAACATTATACAAATATATTCGGGGCCAATACAAACCATTGTGTGGAAATCTATTCACAAACCGGACTTTACATAGGACACGAGGCCATGCGTTTAGACTGGAAGAAAGAAGATTTCGCCTAAGGCAAAGGAAAGGTTTTTTTACTGTAAGAACAATCAGGATGTGGAATTCTCTGCCTGAGGAAGTGGTTTTATCAGAGTCCATACAGATGTTCAAACGGCTACTAGATGCATACTTGCAAGAACAGAATATTCAAGGATATAATCTTTCAATGTAGGTAATAACTGCTTGATCCAAGGATAAATGTGACTGCCATTCTGGGGTCAAGAAGGAATTTTTTTCCTAGCTTGTTGCAAAATTGTGCTTCAAACTGGTTTTTTTTGCCTTCTTTTGGATCAACAGCAAAAAACAAATGTGAGGAAGGCTGAACTTGATGGACGCAAGTCTCTTTTCAGCTATGTAACTATGTAACATTCAGTGACAGTTAGGAAATATAAGGGAATAAAAATTAATAGGCCTACTATATCAGATCATAATTCAGGAAGTATGGAAATTGAAACAGATTACATTTTAAAGAGAGGTTAGCTGGAAACCTAGAGACTCAATTTGGAATAACAAGAATTCACCTGATGAATTCATTTTGAACTCCAACCTATATTTTAAGGAGAGCCTAAACGAAGAGGTTAGCTTGGGGAACATTTGGGCAGCATATAAATGTGTTATCAGAGGATATATTTTTAAATTAGAGGCTCAAAAAAAAAAAAAAACAATCCTTGGCAGACTTATATTTAAAATTCGATGAGTTAGAGAAAATTAACCCCAAGGATCAAAGTACTTTCCTTGAAATAGATCAATTTAAGAGCAATATTAGAAAATTAATGCTAGATAGAGCAAATAAAATTCTCATTAAATGGAAACAGAAGTGGTTCTACATGGGGAACTGTGCAGACAAATATCTATCAAATCAGCTCAAAAATTCCAATCTCAAGGAGAGAATCTTTGAAATTTCATCAAGTGATAATCAATGTAGGTCCCCCAATAAAATTGCTTCCGCATTCCCTATATAATTTAGGTAAACTTAAAAAAAATTAACCACAAATTTCTGACTATTTAAAAAACACTTATGTACAAGCAATAGATACAAAACATAGAGCAGCACTAGACAAACCAATAGAGATGAGAGAAGTCATCCAAGCTATAAACAAAACAAAAAAAGAATAGAGCACCTGGTCCAGGCAGCTTCACCAATTATGTTTATTAAAAAATGTCACATGTAATAGCTCCAAAACTAACAAATGTATTTAATGATATTCTAGAAAACAAACCATTTCCCAGTGAAATGTTGCAAGCGATCATTAAACCTATTCCCAAACAAGGAATAGGATTTAAAATTTGTTCCTAATTGCCGACCGATTTCTTTAATCAACAGTCATATCAAAATCTTTTCTGCAATATTATCAGATAGAATTAAAAAGATAATAGCTCTCATCATTTATAAAAAAAAAAACAAGTAGGTTTTGTTAGCGGTCGTCAACCATATGGTAATACAAGGAAAATCATTGATATAATAGATTTTGCCTAAAAAAATTAAAATCTCTATGGTCACACTCTCTCTGGATGCGGAAAAGGCATTTGATCGGGTTGACTGGTCATTTCTGGAAGCAATACTCAAAAGATTTAATTTCGGTGAAAATATAATAACATTTATTATGGCTTTGTACTCCGATCCGACAGCTAAGATAGTGGAGCAAGGTTTTGCCTCCCAATAGTTCACAGTCAGGAACGGTACTAGACAGGGCTGTCCTCTGGCCCCTCTTCTATATATCATGTCTTTAGAACCATTGGCAGCCAGAATTAGCGATAATAAGGAAATTAGAGGAATCTCTATTGGGCATGTTGAAAGCAAGGCTAGTCTCTATGCAGACGACGTTCTGTTGACTTTAACGGACCCTAAGACATCGATAGAATCCGTTTTAAATGAGATTAAAATATATGGAGAGTACTTTAACTATAAACTCAATATCAATAAATCACAAGCTATGTCAGTGGGAATGAACGAAAACGCAATGGTAATTCTTACTCATAAGTTTTCATTCATGTGAAAAGATAAATACAATGACTACTTAAGGATCAAAATTACAAAACCCTCTATCTTTAATTGAGCTGAATTATCAAGAACTATTAAATGAACTTTCTAAAAAAAAAAAAAACTGGGAGAATGGAGAAATCTGCCCCTATGATGGATGGGAAAAATTAACATTATTAAATCATATATTACCTAGATGGCTCTACAATATGAGACTAATCCTCCTTCAACTCCCTTTCTTCTTCTGCACACAATTTCATTCCACAGTAGAAACATTTATTTGGTCAAATAAGAAACCAAGAATTGCAAAAAAAAATTATAAGGGGGGCATGGGTTTCCCTAATTTGAGCCTTTATAGTTGAATTTATGCAATGATGCATTTACATACTATTCATTCATATTCCTCTAAAACTGAAGATTGGTTCATTATTGAACAAAAAATATTGAATATCAAGAACTGTAACAAGATCTTATGGCTAACGCAATAGCAAAACAATTTATAGACAACTCTAAATGGATTTTTATTATCAAAAACATTATTTCCTTCTGGTGGAAAATGAAGAATCACATTGGATTAAAATATAAAATAACTCAAACTCCCATCGAAATAATTAAATATAACATCCCAGATCTGAACAAGATGAAGTGGTATAAGAACAAAAAGGTGATTGGTTTTATGGATGGTACACAGTTAAAAACATACGGTCACTTAATAATGGAATATGAAATCCCAAGAAAGGATTATTATAATCTGATTCGCATAAAAACCTACATTTCCAGGCATCTTCTAACTACTTTAGATCCTAATGCCATGAAACTGTTAGAGAATCTCTTTTCAGCTCATTCAAATAAAAATATCTTTACAAAGGTTCAATGTTTTTTGAAATCCCTAGAAAAGGAAAATAGAGTGAGAGCCCAGACATGGTCTAAAGACCTTGGCACAGTGACAGATAGCATGGCATGGGGTAATAGCTGGCTACAAGTTGGGAGAGCGACCCATTGTTTAAATATCCAAGAATTACACTATAAAATAATGCATAGATAACATTGAGTCCCCACTAGAATGCATAAAAGTAATTCTAATCACAGTACCCTGTGTTGGAGACGTGGCCTAAGGGAAGGAACATTTGAACATGTATGTTGGTCTTGTAGACTAGTCCACAATACATGGTCTACGGTTTTTCTAATAATCTCAGATACTTTAAAGACAAAACTCACACCTTCTCCAGAAAAAGCCTTATTACATTTAAACCTGGATGGGTTAAATAAGCGAGGCAAATTGTTGACTATCCAGATCTTTATGGCCATGAAGTTAGTAATATCAAGAATGTGGAATAAAAAGCAGGAAATTTCGCTGATAGCTATTTTAAATCTAGTAAATTTCCAATGCAAGATGGAGAAAGGCTATTTTTCGGCTCTTCAAAGCTTTAGTTCATATATCACACTTTGGGAGCCTTGGGTAAATTCAGATCTTGAGGTCTATAATATTTGACCTTTCTTTTATTTTCTATTTTCCTTTTTCATTTTTGATTTGTATGATTAAGGAGGGGGGTGAATTCCACCGGTCACGCAGACCATGTCTTGTCTTGTTTTATTTTCTACGAATTGTAAGCTGCGACAAACCTTTTATAGAGCGGATTTAAACATCTAGTCGCATAAATTATGTATTGTCTAGACAGCTTGGATATGTACAATTGGAGAATTGTACTTATAATCACGGTTTTATAGATTAATCAATCTCTGATACTCCAACATTGTATTTGAATAATATAAAATAATTTTAAAAAATTGGAAATTAAAAAAAAAAAACATTCATGATTTGCCTGATTCATTACCCGAGATTTCTTTTCAATTCATTTACAAACATATTGGATTACACTTATCAAGTCTTTAAAGCTCTGCTTTGCTTACTTTCACACACCCCTTAAAACGTCTTGGTCTTCATTAAAAGAATAATACAGACCATTAAAGGACCACTCTACATTCACAAAGCACGTCAGCTTGCTGAAGAGAGTAACTGCATACCCCCTTGTCTCAATTCAATAACGACAATTCAGGAGAAATGTCTTTGAAATACTATAAAAATAATAAAACATTCTTAAATTGATTAGTAGACGAAAAATTTAATACTTGATTAGCAGAGCAGGGCACAATATTTCTGAGATTGGATGGTAAACCCTAATTTATGTATTTATTATTTATTATTGGTATTTATAAAGCACCAACAGATTCCGCAGCACTGTACAAGTAGTGGAGAACGTACACTATACACAGACAAATACAAGAGGTTGAGAGATCTTTGCCCGTAAGCTGATAACTAGCCATTGGAGCTTCTTTATACAAAGTGCTTAGTTGGATAGCCCATGAGTTTACAATCTAAAGGATACAATGGGGATTTGAGACAAGAGGTAGCAGGGGACATTTGGAGGTGATGGCTAAATGAGTTAGAGAGAAGCAGCTATTAATAAAATATAAAGGGAATGGGGGGGCAATTGAGTGAGAATCTCAATAAGCTGGAGGAGCATGCTATATATTTAAGGGGAATCTGGGTGGGCAGGAGGCGGGGAGGGTGGATGGGAAGTGGTGAGCAAAAAACAAAATGCAGAGCTTCACTGAGTATGTGAGTGAGATGAGGCCTGAAGGACAGAGATAGAGATGGATCAATGATCTAAGTAATAAAAATTTATTTTAATGGGGAAAGGAATAGGAACTCAGAGTGGAATAATCCTAATTATTACTGAGATTACAGCATGAGTCCAAGTATAAGTAATTAGTAGTGTACATTCAGAAATGTCAGTGAAAATGAAGCTGGCAATTATAAGAGACGCAAAGTATCAATAGAGTAAAATATAATCACTAACTATAGTTTAGTATACTATTGTATCAATTTCCCTTGAAGGGAACTATCAGTGTAACTGTGCTAGGTTATACACTCTATAGGAGAGGAACTCAGCCTGGAAATCTCGTCAGATACAAAAATCGGATTGTTCAATGCACAACTCTTTTCCCAAATAGTGCTGTTCACCGATCATACTAATAATAAATAAGTAATAAAAATGGACACAAAATACCATGTTACATAAAGTGTAAACAGCAGAGGGCGCACTTTCCTTCCTTTGACAAATAATCTAAACAGAAGACCCATACAGTAGGTTAGAAGGAACGTACAAACACAGGTCACTTAACAGGACAGGAATATACAGGTTAATAGCATAAAAAAATAGTCAGTAGTAATTGAATAAAAAGCTCATGTTATAAAATGTGATTAATAAAACAGTCACAACAGTGCATACCTGCTCTAAATCAAATATTAAAGTGAACCTGTTATGAAAAAAATTAGTTACCTGAAATTGGTCCCATATACATTGAATACACCATATATCACAAAGATACACGCTGTATTCAATTTAAAATATAACAATTTACTCACCTTTACTCTATTCCAGTGCCACTTTGTGGATGTTACTCTTCATGTACCATCCACCTCTGCTCCTCCTGAGGTCATCTTTGATTTTCTCTGCTTGAGACACATCCCCAAGCAGGGCAAAGCTCGTCAGTGACGTCGGCAAGCTGGCTTGGTTGCTACCATCAGAACGGAGGGATGTCAAATCACTCCGTTCCTATACTTCCTAGCCAGCGCTAGAACCACCAGCTGGGGAGTTTCCTTAGCAACCACAGCACATGCACTGTGGTTTCTATGGGTGGAGAGCAGAGGGATATTCTGTGGGAGGTCTTTTCTGCTCTACCTTGACATTCAACGTCTCGGCACTGACAGACAGCTGGGAGAGAAAAACTATTTTTAAATATTTTTTTCTCCTAATCTATACATTTGCGAGCAAAACTGCTAACACAATCTATAGATAAAATCGTATGCTCAATCTAACGAGCATTTGTTTGTGGCACCATAGGTGCCCTTTAAGCTATCATGTGCTGATGTGAAAAGATACATTTTTCAGCTCCTGTCATCTTTTATATGCAGCAATAGGTTTGATCTGTGTTCACCCTCATGTAATAAGTAGATAGACACAATGGGATTTATCTGCTATTATTTAACAAACCAACGGTTTCCGCAGCGCTGTACAATTGCACAGATAAAGCATGTAATGAAAATTAATTTAAAGTAACACTATAGTGCTAGGAATTCAAATCTAGCACTATGGTGTCCATCTGTCCCCCCACGCAAATAAAGGGTTAAAAGTGTTACATAAATTCTGCACAGATGTCCCTTGGCATTGGCTCCATCTCCAAAGTCAGCGCAAGGGGGAGCCTAATGCAAGATGTTGGAGGTCAACATGTAAAATGTGAGGATGTCCAGCGATGTTTCACGGAGTGCCAGAAAGCACCTCTAGTGGTTATATGGGAGACCGTCACTAGAGGCAGCTTTAAACCTGCAATGTAAATATAGCATGTTTTACATTGCCGGGTTAAGGGGACAGGGACACTGCACCTAGGGATGAGATGAAGTTGTCTGGGTGCTTATAGTGTCCCTTTAACTCACACTGTGCCATATATGCTCATATTGCACTCTGGAAGGAATATCCAAGTACACATGCTTGTATGGCATCCCCATGCAGATTCTGGAGTATGCATGAATGCCTGGAGCGTCAAGGATCAGGCAATGACATTGTCCTGGACAGGAAAGTATTGAAGAGGTGTTTTCTTTTTACCTTCTGCTACACTGCTAAGCCCCAGTTAGCGCTTCAGTAGTTTTTACTAAAGTGAGAGTATGTGGTGATATCACTTCCAGAGAGGTGACAGTTCCGCTTTACCTTTGTCGTCGTTTTTGAGGAAAAAAATAGTTCACATATTAGTAAGTATGTTTTAGAACTATAACTCCTTAAGGGTCTAATGTCGATAACACTTTAGTTCTTACGGGACCATTCCACACACCAGAACCACTTCATACCAGTAAAGTGGTTATGTTGACCACAGTCTACCAGCGCCTGCTTACCTTTATGTGTTAAACCATTTTCGAATGTTTAAACACTTTTGTGGAGTCCACCAGAAACCAGTCCTACATTCTTCTCCTCTGTAGAACAAAAAATAAGGTGCGCTGTGCTTTTAAGACTGTATTATTTCAAACCGTATACTTAATAGAAAATATTATACAATTATTATGCAAATACTATATTCTACAGTGCATATATCATTAAATGCAATAATAGACGTGGGCCAGTGCAATAAACAAAATACAATAAAGTGCTGCAATACTGTGCATAAAGCAGTGTAAAGTGCCACACTACACTTACATGTTAATACATTCATACTGTAGTGTGGCACTTTACACTGCTTTATGCACAGTATTGCAGCATTTTAGCATTTTAGTGAGTGTTTATTTGAGCTTGTACACTGTGTGAGGTGCAGCTTCTTTTTAACAAGTTTCTTTGGTCTGGTTTTAGCGCCATTAGTACTTAAGTTTGTTTTTTCATTTGTATACTTCTCCTCTGCCTGCACATGGAGGAGCATTTGCTTGAGCTTTTGGCATATACCAAGGATATAATTATTAAATTGTGGGGTAATAGCTTCTTGATCCAATAATATATCCAACTGCCATTCTGGGGTCAAGAATGATTTTTTGTTGTTGCAAAACTGGAAGTGCTTCAGCTGGGTGTAACTATGTGTGTCTGTTAATTGTTGTATGTAATTTTCTTGTCAAGTATATAAATGTTGTAACTGTAAAGTGCTGCAGAATATGTATGGCCCAATATAAATGATAACAGTGATTGTGCTCTAAGCTCAACACTAACGACCCTTAGCAAGTAATGCTATAGAAAAGTATGTTGTTTTTTCCCCACTGGCCGCCAAGAGAGGGTAATAGTTCAGAAAAGTACTTTACTAAAGCCTAACTCCTTCGGCCTATCGCTGCAGCTGTAGCCAATGTTTCCACATATCTGAATAGCCAGAGAAGGCGAAACCAGACTGGCACCTGGGGATTTCACTTAACGGTTAAACTGTTGACAAGGCCCGGGGAACTGCAGGCACCATAACCACATCACTGACATGAAGTTGGTTTGGTGCTTGAAGACTCTACTCTGAAATGCCAGACACATTTACTGACAGTGAGGCTTCTATGAAGTAGCTGTGATTGATGTTAAACAAACACAACCCTCAGTGTAAATAAATGTGCAGGAGGTATGCTTACGTGACATTATTACAGTGACAAAAGCAAGGGAAGAACTATTAAAATTGTTTATTTGTATTTAGAATGCATCACTTTGTCATTTCCTGTAAAACATAAAAAAATAAATTTAAAAAATCGTCCAAACTTCCAATTTCGATTATGGGCAAGCAATATAGTTCAAACCACTAGATGGCATCAGATTCCACTCTGTGTCCATGCTCAGGAATGTGACCATGAGAAGTATGTGGAGGGCTGAGGAAGAGTGGATTTAAGTGGCAGAACGAGTTAGGCAAGGGAATTTCCCTGTAAAGAAAACAGGCTAGTAAAAAAAACAAATGTTCTGAGAAATGACACAGATCTGGATTTGGACACGTTGTGCCACTTGACTGTGAGTTTTGTTATTTGAATTAAAAATACAGTTGAAAAGAACCCCCAAAATAAAATAATTTTCATGTGATGTGGGTAGTTTGTGATATTGTAGCAGTTACCACATGTCACCATCTTGTTTTGATTAGAAGAAATTAACAAAATAATATTTATTACAGATACATATTGTGTGATCTTCATGGCAAATCAATTACTATTGTATTGCAACTGAAGCCATGTGATGTGACCACCACTTGGCATTAATAAAACATTAATAAATAAATATTGGCAATCAGGTAATGTGATTGGTCGTCCCATAACAACTTCACATAGAAATCAAAAGTTGCAGATGGAAAAATCAAAACCATTTTTAAAGGTAATTCTAGTGAATACAATTGGCGGTGGGCAAATTCTATATCAGTGATGGCTAACAACAGCCTCAGGTCACAAAGGTCACTTATTAATCGAAGTATTAGACCAGACACAGTTATTAACTTACTTCTGCATATCCTTCTGTTTGCCAGTCTTGCACGGTTTGTTGATGGGTGTTACTGGTTTCTGACCCTACCAATACCGGTTGCTGTGAGAAGTGAATGTTAAATACCGCAGCGCTGTACATTAGGTGGGCTAACAAACGAGTAGTTGAAAGAAGACAAGTTGGAAGAACAGAATGTGCTGACGGCCCTGCTCAAAGAAGCTTACATTCTAAGGGGAGTGCGGTAAAATGCCACAAGACATATGTACATGCATTATAAGGTTTCTGGATTCATTCTAAAAATGCAAGACTATAAAATGGGAGTTATAAGTAAAGACAGCCTATTCTTGGGATCACCATTGTCAATTCTGCTTAAATAACTAAACAACAAATGGATTCCTATACACTAAAAAAACTATGCCATCAGCCATAAGAGAGGAGGTTCAAAAAGCAACCCAGTATGACAACAAATTAATGGGCATGAAAATTACTTCAATTTTTCTATTAGTAAATGGGCACTGCTTTGGATAAGATGTATGAAAAGACCATTGATTGTTCTGTCAGTTTTACAGCTGTTTGCTTGATACAGATAGCACTGAAGAGTTAATCACCAGGCCTTTGCACATAGTGAACAGACACACTCATTATAATCACCATCTCCATCCAGCCCTGATAATATGCAGACATTCCTAAGGAGTCAGACACAATCATTGGCGTTTGCATGGATTACAGTGCACCAGAGGGGAGCCGTCTGCCATATAAAGTGAGTGACCCTAGTGGGAACATGTCTGTGCTTTGGGTTTGTAAGTTAGATCTCTTCTTCCAATTTGGAACAAACATTCTCCTCGCAGTTGCATATACTGTTACTCAGCAGCACGTGATGGAGTATGGAGAAAAATACACATGTACACTATTATATAATGAAAAATACACATGTACACTATTATATAATGAAAAATACACAATGTTTAGCCCGTGCTCAAAACTCCACCACTATTAGGGCGACAGCAATGGCTACAGTATTCATCAGCCTACATGCAGAAAACTAAAATATAATGAGAAATGGTTCATTGGTGTGATACTGGAAAATATTATAAAAAAACAACAAATTATATAAAAACCCGACCCAAGATCAGGGTGACAGTGCTCTGTACTAGAAACCAATATCCCAGCTGCAGTGGACTGCAACTCCACATGGTAAGGTCACATCTATACATGACTGGGGTTATAACTCACAGCAGCTGGAACACCAAAGCCTGTCTAGATCTGCATTGTATTATACACTTATTTATGTTGTCAATAAGTTGAAGTAGAAAAAAAAAACACCCATCCATACTGTTGGGGAAACATTTGGGGAGGATTGCCAACTAAATGTTAACAGGCCGAGGATACCTTTTGTTATAATGCTTGGGTTGAATAATTTGGGGAATGCTCTACCTCTTCTAAACAACGGCCAGCCAAAAATAATGGGATCCATTTCATCAATGTCAAATAAAATTAGGAAAAAAGTCATTTAGGCAACATTTAGTGTCCAACTTCAAAAGCATCACCGCATCTGTACTATCATTTATGTTGCACTTACAGAAGGGGGGGGACTGTTTTACTTTGAACTGAAGTCTTGAGGAGAGAGACAGCTAACCAAAAAGAGACTATAAACCAACATGAGCTTTAAAGAGGAACACAGGGGAAGCATGTTTTGCTGGCACCGTGGAGCCTGGAAGTATTTTGCTCCCTGCAAAGAGGAGAAGCTTGAAAGCTCTGTACTCAATTACCAAGCATGAATTTATGGGATCAATGCACAGTTAACACGTTCCTCTCAAAAACTGCTACTGTATTATCTAAGAGTGACATGGCTATATTTAGAGGGCTTCTCCAGCAGGAGTTGTATCTGGAAGATTACCAAACAATAGGGAGGGTAATGTAAGAATCCATTAATAGAGGTAATAATAATAATAATAATAATAATAATAATAATAATAATATAGTCGTTATCTAATTGTTATACCAATGAAACATAATTTTTTTAAAAACCCAACTAGAGGAATGTACATCGAGATGATTTATCCCCCCCCTTTTTTAAAATTCAGTTCAGTCTGGGTAAGCAGAATAATGTATGCCTTACTGCCTCAAAACTTTAAGAGTTGGTCTCAACTTCTAGATATCCCCTTCACCCCTCAATCAAAAAGAAATAAATAAAATAAATTGTGAAATGTGTTCTAACAGATGAGAACATCTGTGTAGGGCTAAGTAGAATATTAACACTAAGGGTTAATTCTTTACTTCCTCACCAGTGAGAGGAAATGTCTCTGCTCTGCATGTCACTCCTGCTTTTATTACATAACATAAAAGAACACAGTGAGCTGGACACAGAGGATAGTGGGGAACACAGTTAAACTTATTACACTCTCTGCCATGCTGTGATGACTCACAGTGATTTGAATGGAAGCAGTGTAAAGGTCATAGAAGCACTAAGTGTGAATGATACAGGTATTAATTAATAAACACCTGTCAAATGATGGATACATTGGTTAATACCCCCCCCCACCCCCCCCCCTTACTAGCTGTAAATCATTTCAATTGACACATATATTCCTATTACACTCAGATTTTCCAATACGGATATCCAGTTTTGCAAACTACTATTCCCATTATGCTCAGCCAGAAAATGTTGGCTGAGCATAATGGGACGTCGAGATCACAAACTAGTAAGTTATATTCCATAGCTGAATATTAGTAATACGAGTGTAGCTTCCCAAATAAAATAGATCAGCTTGATAAAATGCAACTAGGATGTAGGGAGTTTTAAGGCACAGTGGGAGAGCTATGCTTCAAATCATTGCTCAAAGTTCTAAAACTGGAGCAGATCCCATGATATCTGATGGAATGTCCGTGCTGATCGTTCCATTCTTAGAACGCTGCCCCACCACCAGTCTTCATACATAAACCCAGTATGTTACAAGAATATTTAGAGGGGAGGCAATGACTGCTGGGGGTCTCTCACAACTTGGTTTGTCAACCTAAGGTAGCCCAGGAAAGCCATCTGTGTCTTCCTCCCTGGATCAGGTACAGGACACTCCTCACTTGGAAGGATTAAACACCCCGTGAGCTGGTTTTGTTTGCAGGAGATTTGCATACGGCTCGCCCTTCCAGTAAATATGAGGTTTTTCCCTGCGGAAGGAGTTAACGAGGCAGTAAGTGTAGCCCTGGAGCAGTCCCAACCCCGCACACTGAGTCCTGGCAGCCGTCTCCCCGCCCTCCCAGGCTCTGATAAGACGTCAGTCAGGGGAGAGGGAGGGAGCCACGGGCTACTATAAATCCAGCTGCTCAGCAGGCACAACTCATACAGAGCCACAGGGACCGGCTAGTCTGACAGCAACTCACAGACCGCCCTGACAGCAACTGTGCCAGCAGTGCTCCAGACACCCTCAGCCAGCACCCTGCAAGACAGCCGTGCTACAGACACTCTCAGCCAGCACCCTGCAAGACAGCCGTGCTACAGACACTCTCAGCCAGCACCCTGCAAGACAGCCGTGCTACAGACACTCTCAGCCCTCACATGAGTACCCTGTCCATGAGCCTGGAGGCCCGCTGTGTGTCCCCATATGCCGCCTGGTGTATGGAGTCTGCCAACTTCTACGAGCAGCGCCTGAGCGGCTCCCCTGCCCCCTGCAAGCCCAGGGCCATGTGCGAGGAGCCCGAGCACCCGGTGACCAGCAGCAGTAACCTGGCGGAGCTCAGCTCAGCACCCGCCATCTACGATGATGAGAGTGCCATCGACTTCAGCTCTTACATTGACTCCATGTCCTCCGTGCCCAACCTGGAGCTGTGCAACGACGAACTGTTTGCTGACCTGTTTAACAGCAACCACAAGGCTGGGGAGAGGGCAGAGAGCGCCCAGGACTATCTGAACGGGCTCCTGGCTCCCCCCTACCAGGGAAACAACAAGACCCACTTACAGCAGCTGAAGCAGGAACCTGAATGGAGTGACAGTGACATGTCCTCCTCCCTGCCATGCCAGATTGCCACCTGTGCCCAGACCAGCATGAACCTCCAGCCCACACCGCCCACCTCCCCAGAGCCATGCAGCTCCACCAGCTCAGCATGCCCGTCCCCTGCCTCCACCGCGGGCACAGCCTGCACCAAGGACCGGTCCGGGAAGAAGTGTGTGGACCGGTACAGCCCGGAGTACCGGCAGAGGAGGGAGAGGAACAACATCGCCGTGCGTAAAAGCCGAGACAAGGCGAAGAAGCGCAACATTGACATGCAGCAGAAATTGCTGGAGCTCTCCTCTGAGAACGAGAAGCTCCACAAGAGGATAGACCTCCTCACCAGGGACCTGACAAACCTCAGGCACTTCTTTAAACAGCTGCCCTCCACAGCCACATCTGGCACTTTCCTCTCCAACATGGGCAGCATTGATTGCCGGTAACTATGCCAGCCAAGCCAAGGACTATCATAACGTATCAATACCTCATACCATCTCCTTAACCTGAGAGAGGAGGGTCTGCACTCTGCCTGCACCCCATGGACAATGGACTCATACCCCCTCATCTTAAAGACTGAGCCACAGACCTGTCACTTTGTTTTTTTATATATATATATAAATATTATTATTATTTTAGTGCAATAAGAATCTACAACTGTGTTGCTAATGCCATGCTAAAAAGGGACAGTGTGGGTGTCTCTACAAACCTTTGTGTGCCAGGAAGGTGCCCAGTGCTTTGCTGTCCCCCTGACATACAAAGGATGACATTTGGGTTGCTGAGGGTGGGTGACAGATGGGAGCTTGCCCACAAATCTGGTACTCAAGATGTAAAAAGTGCAATCTTAGACCAGCTCGTGCCTTGCACTGCACTTTTATTACTAATTACTCGATTAGTCGTGCCTTGTCGAGCGGTCTGCAGTCACATCTCATTGCAGCCTTGGCTCACTGGTGAGAAACACGTGGGGGTGTGTACAAGATGTGCAGTGGGACTGACAGCCTCAGTCTTGCTGCCTTGTACACACCACAGCTACCAGCTAGCAGTATCCCAATTTGATCAGCTAAAGGGATCCTGCTACTGGCACATCTCATTAATATTTTTATGGCCTTTCAGATCAGGAAGCTTTTGATCCCTACGTATACCGCTTATGGTCCTGCTAGTGCCTATAATGAAGCCCTGCACAACAGCCATCAGCTTAAATACATGGTTTGTGCCTTTATGCAGGGGAAAGTCAGCTTCTGTTATTACAGCTGCAGTGGAGTACAACTTACAGCATGCTCAACCATTTGCTGCAGATGTAGCTGGCTGAGCATGCTGTGAATTGTAGATCCACTGCTGTCAGATGTGTTCTATCCCTGCAAACCTGGACGTACTGTATGGGAAAGTCATGATATTGGGCAGTGCCAAACAGAAATTGTGCTGGTCTTCAGTTTCTCTTTGTATTTTTATGAATGTGTAGTTAAATGACTGTGCTACCCCTAAAAATAGAACTATAAATATATATTTTTTTTCTTTCCACTAAAACTATAAACAAAAAAGCTAAAACATTTCCCTTTTCCTTAAATTATTTTTGTAATGGTAGTTTTCTATATACTTTACCGATGCAGCTATTGATGGTACATTTTGTAAAAGTGATTTTGCAGGAAAATAAAACCCTTTGTATTGTAGATATTAGGGAAACAGAAAATGAGCATGCTCAACTTTTTATATGATCATTTTTACAGCATTTTTAATAATAATAAAAAACCCAAAAATATACAAGTTTCTGTCTATTTTCATCATTATTATCATTATCATTCATCACTGTTGTTACAGATTAAGTATTTCATCCTCTGCCCTGTTGGTTACACACATTTGTAAAGATTACATTTAAAATAAATACAAATATCCACTTAAAAACAATTTATCAAACAAATGTACTCAACTGGCATTTAATCATTTTCTCCTAATGAGTTAGATAACTCTGGTGAATGGGTAAATCTAATTATGCAAATGTAACCATTTATTAGCTGCTCCACAGCATGTATCTCTTGAATAAATGCTTAACGTTTCAAAAGGGTAAAATAATGACAGTGAGTATTGGGTGGTAGAAAACAGTCTGGTGGTCAGTTGGCTGGTCCTGGATATAATAACACATAGGTTCAAATGACTAATTGTCACTCTGAATATCTGATTAACAAAACTCATCCTGTGGAAACCTAATAAAAACACATAACTATAACCACATACAGAGCTAAAATGTACACACACAAAAAAAAATCCAACATTATAAACCTTAATCTAATGCATTTATTTACACTTGCTGATCTTATTATGGTGATATACTAAATCCTCAAAGTGTCCTAGAACTTCATCACAGGAGGTTGACAACATGCTAAAAGCCAGCAATATCACATCATCAAAACAAGGAATTGAACACTAGCTAATGGCTGTTAATCTGACCAATGAAAACCTAACCAAAAAACCCTCAGGCCCAGGTAAGAGTCACTTAGAAACATTTACTCCTGAAACTGCTGTGGACTACATTTTCTATGATGTTCTAGAATGCATAGCATAACAAAGTCCTCATGAGATGCAGAGCTAAGCGTTCTAAAACGCCTTGTTTAATGGCGTATGCTCCAACAAACATTCATAAACCCAGTCCTACGGGGGTTATGAGCTGCACAGATATTCTATATACTACATTTTATCCATAGAATGCATTTTTGAAAACATAGGGGCTTATTCACTGAACTATAGCAGATTGACGACCACACTGAAAAAGTAGGCTAAATAGCCAGTTCATGACCATAGCTGACTTTTTTTTTTTTAAAACAAAAAAGGATTTTTTTGGGCCTTATTTTCCAATCTAGTTTGCAATTCACTGGTTTGTGAATAAACGAGAATGGTATCCTATTTTTTACACTATGGTGGTCAGGTGATAACTCTAAAAAAATAAATATTCAGTGTTAATGCAGTCATTTTACATTAACCATGTATGAAAGATACACATGCTAACAGCCACCAAACATGTGTGTAAGAGTTGTAAATACTTCTGTCTGAATACTATATCAGTTTTGCAAATGCCTTAATGTTTCTTGGGGGTACATGCAGGTGCTAATAGTCAAGGGCAGAATGTTCTGATCACATGCTGGTACCTAGGTATTTTGTTTAGTGTCCTTAGAGTATTAATAAATCCAAAGAATGGTACAGTCCAGATGAATTAGAGTACATTATGGCCATATCCGATTTAGCTGCTTCCTGCTCGCTCCAGACAAATTTCTTTCAGGGCCACAATGCTGTTGGGAGGGCTGCTCCATGATTGGACATAGCAGTCCAACGGTCCAACCTCCTTCCCAATCATGCCACTCACCTCATAACGCTGCAGATAAAAAAAAAAAAAAAATTAAAAAAAGTGTGTGCTTAGCAAACACTCATGTACATTGTGTTCCAAGTAGCACATAGCTTACAGATAACATCAGGTGGATAGGCCCTCTCCCATTTTATGACCCTTTTTTCCCAGTACAGACAGATCAGCACAGGTAAAACACACTGCAATCATATACAATGTCTGGAACTGATAAGGAAATTAGATTTTTTTTCCATTGTTTGGTAATAACATAAGCAATCTCCCTTCAAGTGATTTACACTTTGCTCTTTATCACTATATGACGAGCACATGCCCTAAAAGTTATGGCGATAATTAATACGCTTTATAATTTTTAAAACTATTAGCTGCAAATCTCTGCGTGAAAACGAATTCACTTCTGTAATTCATTAAGGAGTTTATTCAATAGCTTAATAAACTTTGGAATTTAATTAGCAATTTTACACAAATTACAATTAAGTGAATAAGCCATTTATTTTGCTCCCATTTCCATTTTAAAATATTTTAAGCTGTTTTAAAGTTTTTATCAATGACCTAATTGCTTCAGTCATCTTCAAGAGAATATAAGTATCTGCCTCCAAATTAACACATTTTGAGACAACCACGTATTCACTAAATTCAGTTCAGAGGCAAATTCCAAGATTTTCCCTAAAATGGAAAGTGGAAATTAGAGATATATCATGCCAACCCCAAAAAATAAAATATATCAAAAGGTCAGAATTCATTACTAGTTATGGTAATTTTACATTCCCCTAACAGCTGACAGTGAATTGCATTTAAAGTTTGACATCCAGAGGTGAATTTGAAAGATTTTTGCCCATGTGTTTTTCTTACTATTTTCAACTAGCTTTATTATTCACTGTCCACAATCAAACTCTTAGCAGAAGGAAAACCCAAACTCAACCCATTTAGATGCAATCTAGGGATACCCAACTAGCCCTGGGGCAAATTTGAGTCAATGCTATCAGAATTCTATTTTATCAGAATTTAACATAAGAAAGTAAAAAAAACTTTGTGAATTACCCAGTCAGTTTATTTAAACCTATAAATGCAATTCATAGCTATACTATGAGAAACATACTGTAGCCAAACAGCAAACTAACTGCTCACACACTCAAGTCAGGGGCATTGTGTTCTACTCTAAGCCATGTGACATAATAAAAACAGGTCAAGGATACATGGTGCTATTTCTAGCATTCACTGCAAGTTCAAAAGTATGTCTTTGCTGTGGTTTTGGTTTTTACATAGATCACATAATAATTTATCTCATTCACATAATTCTCTAGCACATACCCCATCTTTACTGGAACACAAATTCAGAAGAACAGAAATTGTATCTTGTAGCAGCTGTGAAGGTATAAAGGAAAGAAGGGTACAATATTAACCTGGTGTGGCACAAAAGGAAAAAGTATTCACACATATTCACTGATATAATAGTCTATATGCAAGTGCAGTGTGCCAGAGCACAGCATGCAAAGCCCTACAAGGGCAGATACAATCCTTACTTAATCCAAACAGTAAACAATCAACAATGTCTGGGGGTAGGTATACTTGTATATTTATCTGTATGCTGTTGGCACGGGGTATACAATCAACCAAGCCATTGTGAAATGGGAAAAAAAAGTGTTTTGCGGTCAATAGTTTTCTCTACAGAGAGACAAGAATACATGGTCAGTTTCTTTAAATTTTTCTTTGAAAAGCAAAACATTGACAGTTCACCTACTTTTTGATGTTCCAATAGACTTTCAGTTCCCTAATTTTATTTTATATGAAGCTAGCAAATATTCCCTTACATAACAGTGGCCACGGTCTAAGGATGGAGTGTCAGAGAGAAATAACTGGATAGTGGTAATATGCAATGCTGTGAGATTTTAAGAAGTGGTAGTGATGGTTCAGAGTACCAATGTGATATAGGGCCCTGAAGTGGACATACATTGGAAAAATGTAATTATATGGGATGAATAAATAAAACAAAAGGGAATGGGGTGGGAATGCGGCCTGATCATTTTTCTATTTGCATGCCTCTTATGTCTCTCTATGTTCTCTTAGCAAATTATCATTTGTGAAATTATATTTATA